CCGGGGACGCCCCCGCCCCCGCCCCCGGCCCGCCGGACGCAGCGAGCGCCTCGGAGACGTCGATGAAGACGTCCCCGCCGTCGCTCTGACGCAGCCACTCCTGGCAGTTCTCCGTGCGGATCAGCATCGTCATGCACGAGATGTCCCCGCGCACGGGCGCGAACTCGATCGTCCTCGACCCGTTCGTGAGCGCGGACTCGCACGACTGCGCGTCCGGGGCGCGGCTCCCCGAGGGGACGTCCTCGAGGAGGTCGTACGGCGAAAACCACGTGCCGCCTTGGCGATCGGAGACGCCCCAGTGCAACAGAAGCGGGTGCCCGGCCGCGGCGCCGCCGGCGGTGCACGACAGCGTGACTCGCGGCGGGTAGTGGTTCGTGATCGAGACGTTGCACACGCCCGTGGACGAGCCGGTCTCCGTGGAGAGGTTGATCGTCCTCGTCGTGACGACGGAGCCGTCGCCGCCGCCACCGCCGCCGCCGACGTCCGGCTCCTCGAACGACGCCGCGTCGTACGACCCGGCGGAGGCGGCGCCCCACCCGCCGCCGCCGCCGCCACCGCCGCTCGAGACGACGCTGGACGACGACCCGCCGAACGCCGGCATCGACGTCGGCGCGGCCGTCTCGAACGCGGGCGTCGGCGCCGGCGCCGGCGCGGGGGGCACGAACATCGGCGCCGGCGCGGGCGGCGCCGCCGTCGCCATCGTCGCCGCCGCCGCGAGCCTCTCCGCGGCTAACTTTTCCGCGTAGCCGCGGAACGGGTTGTTCGGGTCGCTGACGCAGCGCTCGTACGGCGTCGTCCCCGCGGGGATCCCCACGGTGTTGTTGAACGGGTTCGACTCTTCTTTGAGCGCGCGGTCGTACGCGCCCCGGTCGCCGCCGGCGGCGAGGTCGGGAACCGGCGCGGGCGCGGGCGCGGGCGCGGGCGCGGGCGTCGGCGCGGGCGCGGGCGCGGGCGCGGGCGCGGGCGGCGCCGTCGTCGGGTGTTTCGAGAAGAACCCGCCGCTCTGCTGCGCGTTCGGGTCCGTCAGCGACTTGTTCGCGTATTCCGCGGCGGCGACGCCGCCGTCCGCCTCCGCCATCGCGCGCAGTCGGTCCGTCTGCCCCGACGCGGCTTCCTTCGCCGCCTTCGCCGCCGCCGCCGCCGTCGCCTTCGCGAGCGCCGAGTTCAGGAAGAACGGCTTTCCGCCGTCGTCGTAGTAGCACTGCCGCTCGCCGTCGTAGATCACGAACGCGAAGCCGCTGTCCGGTCGCGTCGGGAGCGGGACCACGAGTTCGTTGCTCTGCCCGCGCGCGCCCGCGATTTGCGTCCTCACGGCGTTGCCGCCGCCCCACGACTCGATCCGCGCGCTTCCGGCCGGGAGGATCTCGTCCGGCGGCGCCGTCCACGGCTGGTGCGTGATGTTCCCCTTCGCGTCCTCGCCGCCGAGGCCCCAGTGGATGTAGATGTCCCCGGGGAGCGCGACGGTGACGACGACGTCGAAGTCCTCGCCGCGGCCCGCCGTCGCCGGGCGCACCGCGCACGAGCAAAACGATCCGGGGGAGATGCGATCGAGGTTCACCTCGAACGCGACCGCGGTGCACTGGTCGTCCGGGGTTATCGAGTCGCGCGATCCGAACGCGGGGGAGGGCGGGAGGGGGTTTCTCCCGGGGAGCGCGTTCGCCCCGAACCACGCGTTCAGGCGCGCCTCGTTCGGGTCGTCGTGGCGAAGCGCCGCGCCGACGACGATCGCGCCTCTCGTCGAGTTTTTCAAGATGCGACGCGCGTTCGCCGTTCGCGCGACGACCGCGCGGCCGCGGACGGACGTCTTCGCGCTCGCGAACGACGGCGCGTGAACGCCCGCGCGCGTCATCGCGAAGGACATCGCGGCGACCGTCAAGATCTGTGCGTCGGGCGGCGCGGAAGCCGGCGCCGTCGCGTGTGCCCGGTTCAAACGGAAGTCCGAGACGTTGGGTTAACAAAAATAATATCGCCCGGGCCTCGAAAAAGTGTCGAAAAGGGAATTCGTATGCGCAAAGGTCTGGCGAGTTTCGAAAATGTACGTAGTACGAAAGTACGTCCAATGCCGGTCGGTCGACGTCGACGAGAGCTCAGCGCCGCAGCTGCTGTCGTGGAAAGCTGTCAAGCGGTCGTGGAACCTGCGTCGATACCCTATCCGCGCGCGCCACCGCCGGCACGCCTCGGTCCATCCGCCGACCGACGCTCCCTCAGTGCTCGCGCATCGAGCACATCGCGCGCGCCAGTCGCACCTCGCCTCGCGACGCCCTCGCGAAACCGCCCTCGCCGCCGCGGTCACCATGATCGCGTTATCTTCCACGTCATCGTCGTCCACGATCGCGCGCGCGCCGAGAGCCGCCGTCCGCGGGGGTCGACGCGCGGCCGCGCCCAGGAAGCGCGTCGCGATCGCGCGCGCGTCCAAGGACGATGACGCGCTCTCCAGGAACGCGAAGAAGGCGCTCGGGGCGCTCATCGCGATCCCGACGTCGATCGCGCTGTCCTCCGGCGCGGTCGCGCTCGCGGACGACGACGCCGTCGACGTCTTCGCCGCCGCGGACGCGACCGCGGAAGAATCCGCCGCCTTCACCGCCGCGACCGCCGAGGACGCGGCGTTCGAAGCCCCCGCGGACGCGCCCGACGTCGCGGAAGCGCCCGTCGTGGAGGAAGCGCCGCCGATGCCGCAGGGCACCGCCGACGCGCTCAGCGCGTACGAGCAGGCGACGCGATCGGGCGGCAACAGCAACGTCGCCAAGAGCGTCGTCGAGAAGGGCAAACCGAAGAAGTCGTCGTCGTCAGACGGCGGCGGCGGGATCGGCGGCCTCATCGGCGGCGTCGTCGGCGTCGGCGCCCTCGGCGCCGCGGCCGTCGCCGCCTTCAAGGCTGGCTCCGCGGCGCTGTCCAACGACTCCGAGGACGACGACGAGGGATCCGGGTCGTACTACGAAGAGGACGAAGACGACGACGCGCCCGCGAAGCCGGCGTTTTCGCTGCCGTCGTTCGGCAAGTCCTCCTCCGAGGACGACGACGAAGGGTCCGGGTCGTACTACGAAGAACCGGCGCCCGCCAAGCCCGCCGCGCCCGCTGCGGGGTCGCGAACGATCGGCGGCATCCTCGGCGGCGCGACCGCGACCGCCGCCGCCGCCGCCGCGGCGAAGAAGGAAGCCGCCGCCGAGGCGCTCGCGGAGAAGCGAGAAGCCGCGCGGCGGGCGCTCGCGGAGAAGAAGGAAGCCGCCGCGCTCGCGCTCGAGGAGAAGAGGGAGGCCGCGGCCGCGGCGAAGGCTGAGCGCGCGGCGCTGAAAGCGTCCACGCAGATCATGAAGCGCCCCGAGCCCGCGTACGAGGAGGAGGAGGAGGAGCGCCCGGCGTTTCCGTCCTTCACCGGGTTTAAGAAGGCGGAGGGCGCCGAGGCGTTTGAGTCATCCACGGTGCGCATGCCGACGCGCGCGAGCGAGGACGGCTCCTCGCTCCCGCGCGGGTTCCCGACGATCGACGACCTGAAGGCGTGCGAGACCGCGGAGGAGAAGGAAGACCTGTGCGACGCCGCGGACGCGATCGTGGAGCGGCTCGAGAGAAAGGCGGAGGGCGCCGAGGCGTTCGTGGACGGCCCCGTCTGCGGGTTCTTCGGGTTTTTGAAACCCAACGCGATTCGCAACGCGGAGAAGGCGAGGGCCGCCGCGGACGAAGCCGCGGCGGCCGCTGCGGCGCTGCGACGCGCGTCCGCGGGCGGGCCGAGCGGTGGGCTCGTCGCCGGCATCGTCGCCGCACTCGTCGCCGTCGGCGCCGCGGCGGTGGTCCTCGGCGGCGGCGGCGGCGGCGGCGGCGGCGACGCGCCGACGCGTCGCCCGAAGCAAACCAGGGAGCCGCGGGTGAGCGCGCCGAAGCCGCAGGCGTCGGCGTCCGCCGGGTCCGGGTTCGGGTTCTTCGCCGCCCCGGAGACGAAGTCCGGCGGGCCGTACGGCCTCGAGGCTGAGAGTTTGGTGGAGGACGTCAAGTCTGGCAAGGCGGACGCGCTCTCCGCGTACGAGGCGCTGCAACGCAAGTGATGACGGGCGCGCGTCGGAGGTCTACTGTCGACGTCAACCGCGAGCGACCGAACGTCTTTCTATTTTATTAAGCTAACCTTATTATCACGACGAGACGCTCGCGCCTCGTCGCCTACGGTGCTACTGCGGTCTCGACCGCGATCGACTCCCGTGCCGCTGCGCCAACCCCCCCGACGTCGCCGACGCGACGATGGTCTCCGCGAGACCGTCACGCATGAGAAACTCCCTCCGGTCGACGCTTCCGGAGCCGTCCGGGTCGAACAGCCCCCACGTCGCGTTCACGACCGCGCGCATGTCCTGCGCCTTTCGAACGTCGTCCCTGCCGAGCTTGAACGTCTTGATGAGCGCCCTCACGACTTCTTCCTTGTCGAGCGCGCCGGAGTCGTCGAAATCCCAAAACGCAAACCACGCCGTCGGGTCGTTCACGATGGACGGAACCTCGCGCTTGCGATGGCGGCGGCGGCGATCGTCGTCGCGGTGGATGCCGTGACTACCGCTCGTCGAATGATGCGCCGCCTCCGCGCGCTTTTGACGCTCTTCCCGCGCGGCGGCGCCGACGCCGACGCCGACGCCGACGCCGACGCCGACGCCGACGTCTCCGAAGACGAACCCGCTCCCTCCGCCGCCGCCTCTCCCCCCGCCCGCGTCGACGCTCTTCGCCTTCGCGAACGACTTCGAGACGTAATCGAGCAACCCCCCGCGCTTCATCATCTCGTGACGCTCCACGTACCCGTCGCCGTTGACGTCCCACTGCGGCCACAGCGTCGGGAGCTCGCGTTCGATCGCGCGCCAGTCGCACTTGAGCTGCGCGCGCAGCACCTCCAGCACCTCCGCCTTGGACAGCCTCCCGTCGCCGTCGACGTCGCACGCGGCGAACCACCCGTTCGGATTCTCCCTCGGCGACGGCACCGGGAGCACGCGCGCGAACGACGCGCGGCATGTCGGGCACTTCTTGTCGTGCTTCGCGAGCTCGCCCGCGCACTCGACGTGGAAGAAGTGCGCGCAGACGCGATGCCGCTCGCTCGCGACGAACACCGCGGTCGGCGCGGAGCACAGCGCCTCGAAGCACACGGCGCACTCGCCGAACTCCTCCGCGACGGACTTGTTCGACTTCTGCCGCGCGATCCTCCGCGGCGGGCGCGGGGGCTGCGACGACGCGGTCGTCGACGCGGGGAGCGACGACGAGCGCTCGAGACCGTCGCGTCGGACGAAGGGCGACGAGGGGACGCGCGAGGGGACGCGACCAGAGGGAGAGATGTTCAGGTCGTGGAGGCTCTCGCTGATGCTGCTGCTCTCGGGGCCGACGACGTCGCGATCGACGTCGCGCTGGCTCCGCGTCCGTCGCGGGCGCGACGACGCGCGCGACGCCGTCGGCGCGGAGGAGCCGAACCCGAGCCACGCGGGCGGGTCGCTCATCGCGCGCGCGACTAACAATGCGGATATTTTTCTGTTCACGGCGCCCGGGACCTGACGACTGGACGGAACGACAAAAAAATCGTGGCTTATCCCATCCCTCGCGACCACAATTCGCACGCGCGCGGTGAGGTCGAGACGTCCACGATGGCGACGCTCGTCTCGCCATCCATCTCTTTACGACCCTCCCTGACGCCTCGCATCGCGCGGGGTCGCGCCGCCGCCGCCGTCAGAGCCGCGAGCGGCGACGACGCAAATCTCGATACCGTGTACGTGGGAAAGGGAAAGTTCGTGAAGGACGACGCGAGGAAGTACCCGAGCCGCGACGCCTTGACCGGCGGGTGGGCCGGCGGCGAGGTCGGGATGTGGGCGTTCAGGGATAAGGAGCAGAAAGGCAACGCCGCGCAGAGCATGCGCCCCGCGCGCGACGTCGCGTCCGCGGTCGGCTTATCCAACGGCGGATCGACGCCGGTCGTCTCGAGCGAGCCGAACGACGACGCGTCGTCGTCCGCGTCGTCGCGCGGCGACCGCGACGCCGCGTCCGCGTCCACGTCGAACGTGGACAAGATCAAGTACGAGCTCATGAAAACCCTCGCGACGTTAGACCGCGGCGTCGCCGCGAGCGAGGACGACCGAAGCGCGGTGAACGCCCTCGTGGAGTCGCTCGAGACGCTCGCGTCGTCGCCGAGCCGAGCCGCGTCGCTCGCGCCGACGGAGGCGCGGCTGGCGGCGGCGCTCGACGGCGCGTGGCGGCTGGCGTACAGCAGCACGTTCGCGGGGGAGCAGACGGGCAGCCAGGGGTTCACGGGCGCGCCCGGGGGCGGATCCCCCGGCGCTTCGCTCGGGAGCGTGTATCAGCGGTTGAGCTTCGACGACGACGAGGAGAAGGCGACGTGCGATAACGTCGTGGAGCTGCGCGGGCCGTTCGGCGGAGCCGCGGCGGCGTCGTTGGGGCACTCGTGCGCGGTGACCGGGAACACGTGCCGGATCACGTTCACCGGCGTGACCGTGGAGAGGAACCCGTTCGGTCTGCCGCCGTTCACGCTGCCGTCGCCGATGGACGCGCTGCCGAGAGAGGCGCGCGACGCGCTGATGAGCGGCGGGTTTCAGAGCGGCGCGTTCGACACGACGTTCGTGGACGCGGAGACGCGCGTGTCGAGAGGCGACCGCGGCGAACTGCGAGTGTTCGTCAAGGAAGCGTGACGACGGAGGTGAGGTGGCGTCCGAGCACGTATCTAGCTACGTTAAAACCACGCGCGCCAACGATGCGAGAGACGACTTCCGCCTACCCCGACGCGCGCTTCTCGTCCCCTTGCGTCCCGAACCCGAGGTTCCAGTATCCCGCGGGCGCCGGCGGCGGCGCCCATTTCGCGCGGTGCCGCGACACGTCCCCCGGGCCCGGGCAGTGCGTGCACGCCCCGCCCGGGCGTCTCACCGACGAGTTCGCGCCGTAGAACGCGTCGCACTCATCGCACGTGAAGCTCGGCAGGAGCGCGCGCTCGGCTTTGTTGCGAACCACCTCGGAGTACTTGACGCCCGGGGGCGCGGCGTTGACGTCGCGAGCGCGGAGGAAACCGCCGCGCGCGCCCGCGTCGCGCGTCGTGCGCGCCGTGGCGTCGGCGTCGTCCCCGGGTCCTCCGCGCGCGTCGCCCTCGACGTCGTCCTTCCGCCTCGGTGCGATCTTGAACAGCGTCCGGTCCTCCTCCGCGAGCGCGCCCTCGACGTGCTTCCCTCCGTCGGCGTCGCCGCCGCCGCCGCCGCCGCCGCCGCCCCACAAACCTTGCGCCGCCGCCGTGGACGTTCGTCGTCCGCTCCTTCTGAGCGACGCCTCGTTCGCGAGCGCGCCGGTCTTCCTCCACTTCCCTCCCCCTCCTCCCGTTCCCGCGCGCGGCGGCGGCGCGGACGGTCCAGGCGCGGTCGTCGGCGCCGGCGGCGACGGCGCGCGCGCGCGCTTCCGACGCGTCGGCGACGGCGGCGCCGTCGGTCGCTCCGCCGCCGCCGCCGCCACGGCGTCGGACGCGCCCCTCTCCGTCGTCGTCGCCGCGGCGGCGGCGGGGGCGGCGGCCGCGGGAGAGACCGACGGCGACTTCGTCGCCCCTCCCCCGGCGCCCCTGACGGGCGCGCGAACGCCCTCGACGGCGTGCCCCCCGCGCGCGCGTCTGATCTCCGCCTCCGCGTGCTCGAATCGTTTTCGGTACCGCACGCTCGATTGCTTCCAGAGATCTAGCTCCGCTCGCAGCTTCTGCTCCCTGGGCTCGATCGCGTCCTTGAGCTCGTCGAGCTCCGCCTTTATTGCCCTGTACGCGCTCGTGGACGCCGCCTCTTTCGACTCCGCGGCTCTCAGCGCGTCCTCGAGCGACGACACCTCCGCCTCGAGGTCCGCGTTGATCGCCACGAGCGACGCGCGGATCGATTCCGTCTCGGCCGACGCGCCGTGCGCCCTCTCTGCGACCTCCTCCATCGCGTCGTTCACGTAACGCCGCACTCTCTCCGCGACGGCGGCGATGCTCTCCATGTCGCCGCCGGGCGGGGACATCTTTCGCGCGTCGACGACGTGCGGGCGCGTCGATCTTGACTGGGGTGCCCAGATTTGAAAGTGCGCGCGAGACTGCGGCGGCGGCCGGTGCGGGCGGATCTCGCGCCCGCGCCCGCCACTGCACCTGGATGCCACGCCAGTCGACGACGCGCGCGCGGCCTCAGGACGCCTCAGGACGCGCAGATGGCCTCCACCGCGATCACCGCCGCGGTCGCGCCGTTCCGAGCGCGCGCGAGCGCGCGCGCGCGTCGCTCGAGCGTCGCGAAGGTTGGCGCGGTCGCGACGCGACGCGCGCTCCGCGCGTCGCTCTTATCCCGGAACGCGCCTCCCGTCGTCGCGAACGGTTCGACGACGAACGCCGCCGCCGCCGCCGCCGCCGCCGCGAGGGAGGAGGCGGACGTCGTCGACGCGACGGAGGACGCTTCCATCGCGCGCCCCACACACGCGCGTCTCGGCGCCGTCGCCGCCCTCGCGTCCGCGGCGCTGAGCTCCGTCGCGCCGGCCGCGCTCGCGGTCGTGGATGCCGACGGCGTCGAGACGCCGAACATCCTGACGACGATCTTCTTCACCGTCGCCGTCGCGCTCCTCGCGGTGATCACGCTCGGGATTCTGTACCTCAGCGCGAGAGAGGCGCTGGACAAGGGCGAGGAAATCAAGGCGAGGGAGGAGGAGGAGCGCATCGAGCGCGTCGCGAAGGCGAACAAGGGGAGGATACCGGGGGAGGCGAAGAAGAAGAAGCTCTCGCCGTCGCAGCAGCTCGCCGCGGACGGAGGGCAGCTCCTGAACCGACGCGAGCGGCGGCGGCTCGAGCGCGAGCGGGAGGAGGAGAGCGAATAGGGGGCGGGGGGCGGGGGCAGCGCGGTATTCAACAACATTCATGACACGTTTAATATGACAACATACCGCATGGATCGCGAGATGGGCGCCCTCCTTCCCTCTCTCCGTCGCGTCCGCGTCCCGTCGTCGCTCAGCTCCGCCGCTGGCCGTACGGCGAGACGTACTTCCCCTTCTCGCGTTGCCCGACCGGCGCCTTCTGCCCCCCCACGCCCCCCACCGACGGTTTCAAAGAGTTACTCACCCTGGACGACGTCGTGGTCGTGCTCTTCTGGTACCCGCCCTTGTACGAGCCGTACGTCGAAGTCTTCGACGCGCCGCCGCCAGCCTTGCTCTTGCTCCCGACGCCGATCCCCGCCAACCCTTGCGCTAAATTGGACGCGTCGTACGCGCGCCCGCTCACGCCGCTGACGCCGCCGACGGAGATGTCCCCTCCAGAGACGACGGACGCCGCGCCGGCGCCGCCGTAGTGTATGCTGGACGTCCGCGCGTGCGAGCCGTGCGATACCCCCGAGACGACGGAGCCGCCGCCGCCGTACAAGCCGTGATGGCTCTTCCTCGCCGCCGCCGCGACGCCGCGTTCGCGTTCGCGTTCGCGCTCGGCGCGACGCTCGTGTCGCTCGTCGCGCCGCTCCTCGCGCTCGCTCCGATCGTCCATCACGGACGCGCTCGCTTTCACGGACCCGCGCGCTCGGCGCGACCGAGCGCCGGACGACGCCGCGTCCGAGTTTGGCCCCGAGCTCCCGTGCTGCGCGTGCGTGCTCCCCGCGCCTCTCCCTTCTTGCTCCGCGCCGCCACCCTTCGCGTGCAGTCCGGGGTGCAGCAGCGCGTGCTGCCTCTTCTCCATCTCGCGAATCTCGCGGAAGTACGGGTGCCGCAGCGCCTGACGCGCGCTCAGGCGGTCGTCCGGGTTGTACTCCAGAAGCTTCTTGATCAGGTCGACGCACTCCTTGGCCGCGTGCGGGATGAGCTTGTCGATGCCGCTGCCGGCGGTTTTCTTAAAGTTGAAGTCCATGTGCTGCGTCATGTGCTTCATCTTCTGGAGCAACTCCGACGGCGGCGTGCCGATGATGCTGTGAATCTTCTGGATCTGATCGAGCTCGTTCGTCCCGGGGAACAGCGGGAACAGAGACACGATCTCGAAGAACACGCACCCGACGCCCCACATGTCCATCTTGTAGTTGTAGTACCCGTCCGTGAGCAGACACTCCGGGGCTCGGTACCACCTCGTGGAGATGTACTCCGTGTACGGCTGCTTGCTGTAAATCCCCCGGCACGACCCAAAGTCCGCGAGTTTCAACTGGTCGTCCATGATCAAGATGTTCTCGGGCTTGATGTCGCGGTGGAAGATCCCGTTCCGATGCATGTGATCCATGCTCTTGATCAACTGATACATATATGTCTTCACCCGGTCCTCATTGACGTAGTGCCTCCGTCCGCGGATGAGCTCGTAGATGTTCATGTCCATGAGCTCGAACACGAGCGCGAGCCTGCCCGTGGGCTGGTCGTACAAAACCTCTAGAAGTTTGATGATGTTCGAGTGCGGGGACAGGCGACGCAACGCCTGGATTTCTCGCAGGTTGTTCACCTGGTCTAACGAGTCGAAGTGGTTCTTCATGCATTTGATCGCGACGTACTTCCCGTTCTTGATGCACTGCGCTTTGAGCACCTCCGAGAAGGTGCCCTCGCCTTTCTTCGCGACGAGGCGGTACTCTGAGAGGGCAGGGGACGGGGCGGGGTGGGCGATGGAAAACGATTTTCGGGGTTTAGCGAATCCGGGTTGAATGTAGGCAGGCGCGGCGCGCGCGGATCTCGCGCCGGGTTCGACGACGCCCCCTCGCGCGGGTTCACGATATCGACGAGGCAAACGTCGATGTCGACTCATCCGCCGCGGTATCTCGCGATCGCGATCGTCCACGAACGACCGACTACGGAGGGCGGGGGCGGCGCGCGAGCCACGTTCGACATCTGGTCCTAAAACGGCAACAACGATCGAGATTCGGAGGAGGCGAGCGGGCGCGGGGACGCACTGTGCATCGCGTCTCGAGCGCGCCGGCGCTATCTAAGGGCGCTTCGTATCCGCGCGCGGTCAGCTCACGACGTCCTCCTATCGCGTGATCGACCTCGGCGCGCGCGGCGCGTTGTGCGCGCCGCCGCGGCGCGGCGTCGCTCCACGCGTACAGACTACTTTCGGCTTGCCGCGAGCCGACACCTGGCCTGGACACTGGTGTCGGCGAGCGGACCTGCGATCGATGAACGTTTTTCACCCACACCTCGGTTTCAAGATTTGATCGCGTCCCCTTTCAGCTTACCGATGAACTTTTTTGTATGGACCGCCCTGCGTGGTGCACGTCAGGTCGATCGCGAAAAACGTGGACGAAACGCTCTTCTCCGCGCCGGCGCGCGTCGCTCGATTTTAACGCGCTATTCGCCACGCGTCACACGTACCTGTTCCTACTCCCCCCCGGGACGCTCTCCCATGCCGGCCTCGACGGCGACGCGCTCCCGCGGTGCGGACGCGTCACGTGCGCGGTGACCGTCGGGTCCCTTCCCCCCATCGCCGCCGCCGCCGCCGCCGCCGACCGTCCAGATCCGGACGCGACGACGCCACCGCCGTCCCTCGCGCCGTCCCCACCGTCGACGCCGCTCATCGCGCGTTGTCCTCTCGTCGCCTTCGCCGCGGTGTACGAAGACCTCGCGCTCGACGTCCTCCCCTTGCAAGAGACGCAGACGCATCCGGGGCGCGGGGCGAAGCCCTCGCCGGCGGCTTCGACGATCTGCGCAAACTCCCACGCGGTCGCGTAGCCTTCTGGGGGATGCGCGCGCTTGAATCCGCCGAGCCGCGCCGGGGGATCAAACAAGTTCATCCTCCGTCCCGTGTACTCGCCGCTGACGCCGTCGCTGTGGACGCGCGCGGTCGCGGTCGCGGTCGCCGCGGCGTCGTCGTCGTCGTCGACGACTTTTCTCGGCGAGTTCAGTATCGAGTCCCGGAAGAACCGCGACGAAGCGAAGGTCCCTTCATCCCGCGGAGACGACGTCCTCGTCTTCGCGCTCGCCTGCGCGGCGAGCTGCGTGTACGTCATCGCGCCGCCGCCGCCGCCGCCGCCGCCGCCACCGTCGCCGTTCTGCCGATCGAGCTCCTCCGAGGACCCGCTCGCGCCGCCGGCGAAGCTGTCTCCGCCCCGGGTCGAATACGACGCGAACTCCGGGGTGGACGACGCCGTGTGCGCGTACAACCGCGACTGCGTCTTCCCTCTCTCGCGTCCTAAGAACCGCTTCCGCGCGCTCGGGTCCGGACGCAGCGACCCGATGACGTCCGACAGGAGCTTCGATTTCACCCGTAGGTCCAAGTCGCTGTCCGCGGTGAACGACGGCGAGTGGTTCACCTCGATCAGCCACGGCTTGTAGCGCTCGTCGAGCATGACGTCGAACCCCAAGACTTCGAAACATCGACTCGCGGGCTCGCACTCGTCGTCCGCGCCGCCGGCGCCCTTCGCGCTCACCGCGCAGTGGTACGTGTGCGCGAGGTGCGGCTGTATCGGCAATATCGTCTTCACGACGAGCGCCTCGATCTCTCTCCGGAGCGCCCGGACGTCGCACCCGCGCAGCATGAAGTCGTCGAACGTCGCGCTCAGCGTTCGCTTCGTGCCCTCGTCGTCGTACTCCGAGTCCACGAACGCGTTCGAGTGCTTGTTCAAGGCGTAGTTCGTCAGGTGCATCGTGTCGTGATCCATGTTGAATTTCGTCGGCTTCTCGTACTTCGTCGTCGCCAACCGCACGAGGCCTTCCTCGTGGACGTACACCGCGAGCGGGTTCACGCACGTCACGAGCGCGTACACCCGCATGTCGAACTTGTGCCCGTCCAACAGTAAGGGGTTATCCACGTATCGTTGAATCACGACCCCGGTCTCGTCTTTCCCGATTTGCGTCTCGTTCGCGATTAAGTAGATGCCTCTCCCGGACGAGCCCGCGGTAGGCTTGACGATGTACGTCGAGCCCGGGTTCGCTCTGACGTGCCGCTTGAAATCGCTCAGCTCTCTCGGGTGCTCCCACGTCGGCGGCGCGAACGCGTAGTCCCTCGCGAACTTGTTCTGCATGCGTTTCAGGTGCCGCGAGAGCGGCGACTTTCGACAAATCTCGAGCATCCCGGGAAAGTGGTTGATCCTCTGGAACGGCATCAGCTTCGCGACTCGGGCTTCGCTCACGCTCAGGTCGCTCCAGCACAGGTCCCAGTTCGGCTCGCGGTCGTCCACGAGCGCGTACCCTTCCTCCGACGCGGCGTTCTTCACGGTGTCGTACTTCGTCTGCGAGACGTTGATCGAGACGCCGTCGCCGAATCCGATCGAGCTCGAAGAGGCGCGGGATTTATTTCGAGGCCACGACGACGACGGCGACGTCGGCGCGCTTCCGCCGCGTCCTCCGTTCGAGGCCGACGGCGCGCCGTCCGAGCCGAGCGAGGACGACGTCCGACCGGATCGAGGGAACATGACGACGGGTCGCGGGCGGCGCGCCCGAGGCGCCGCCCGATGTGAAGGATTCTCCGACACGCTCTCTCGTCGGATTCCTCCCTCGGAACTCGAGACTAGGACGTCCCGCGCGATTCCGCCAACTCGCACCGCAGTCGGCGGCGCGCGAGGCACGACGCGCGACGACGACGGCGCGGGAGCATGTCCGGTAACAGCGCGAAAAACGCGGCGCTCGGCGCGAGCCTCGCGAGCTCGTTCGTCACCGAGCTCAAAGCTCTGGAGATCCCCGCGGAGGTCCCGGAGGGCGCGCCGATGTCGCAGCTTCACCTCGCGGCGGACGCGGTGAACATGAACGCGACGAAGACGCAGATGCTCTTCAGCGACGGGAACGGCGTCGACGCGACCGCGGCGGCGGCGGCGCTGAAGGAGTTACACCTCGTTGTCATGGGGTTCGTCGCGCACGCGCAGGCGGCGTTAGGGACGCAGGGGAAGACGTTCGACGCCGCGGTGAAAGCGGCGTCGACGACGTTGTCGCGCGCGTGCGGGAATTTGATCAAAGTCGCGACGGAGAACGAGACGCGGAGCGAGTGGCTGAAACCCGCGCTCGCGGAGGTGTACGAGGCCGTGAAGGCGGTGAAGCAACTCCCCAAAGACGGCCGCGCCGCGGTCGCCAAGGCGATGCTCAAAGCCGCGACGATCGTGAAGGACGTCTCGAACGAGCTGAGCGAGCTCGGGAGCGGCGGCGGGTTTTTCCGCGCCGACGACGCCGACGCCGACGCCGACGACGACGACGACGCCGCGGCCGCGACCGCCGTCGTGGACGAGGACGACTTACTGTTCGGAGACGACGACTTCAGCGAGGCCGAGATGATGATCGCGAAGCAGTGCGCGTCGTTCGCGTCCGCCTCCTTCGACTTCGTGAAGGCGGTGTTGGGACCGACGGTGCGCGGACCGAGCGCGAGCGCCTCGGACGCCGCGGCGTTGGAACGCGCGCTGGAAAGGTGCGAGGCGTTCCGACGCGAGGTCGAGGAGATCGGCGCGGGGGTGTACCCGCCGCAGGACGTCGCGGACATCGTGCACAGAACCGGCGGCGCGCTGGAGGCGGCCAGGGGAATGGCGAGCGCGGTCGAGGAGGCGGGGGGAGCGAGCGGGGAGACGAAAGACGCCGTCGACGCGTTCGAAGGCGCGGTCGAGGCGCTGCGAGACGCGACCGGGAGCGAGGTGGAGGCTGCGTAGGTAGCGCTCTGCGGGTCGTGCGCGTCGTAGTTCAGTTCAGTTCAGTTCAGTTTAGTTCGCGACCTTCCTTTGGTTCGCTCGCTCGCTCGTTCGAGTCCGTTCGTTCGTTCGTTCGTTCGAGTCCGTTCGTTCGTTCGTTCGTTCGCTCGTCCGTCCCCCCGGCCCCCCGTCACCCCGCGGCGGCGCTCGGCGCCGGCTTTGGCGCGTTTTTGTGAAGCGCCGGGTTCGCGCCCATCTCGGCTTCCATCCTCTCCAACACTTTCTCCCTCCTCGCGCCGTTCCTCGCGTCCTCCGCGCTCCGCACGTGCGCGATGAGATCCAACACGCGGCACGCGTACCCCCACTCGTTGTCGTACCACGCGAGCAGTTTCACGTGCGTCGGCGACGCCGCCGTCGACGACGTCGCGTCGAAGACGCAGCTGCTCGGGTCGCGCGTGAAGTCCGTAGACACGACGGGCTCGTCGACGTACTTCACGATGCCCAACATGTCACCGTTCGCGGCGTTCATGAAGACGGTTCGTATCTCGTCCATGCTCGCCGGGTTCGTGAGTTGAATCGACACGTCCACGAGCGACACGGCCGCGGTGGGCACGCGCGTCGCGAGGCCGGTAACCTTCCCCGCGAGGTCGGGCATCACCGCGCCGATGGCCTTCGCCGCGCCCGTGGTGGTCGGGATGATGTTCAGAAGGCAACTCCGCCCGCGTCGCGGGTCCTTTAAGCACACGCCGTCCACCGGCGGCTGGCTCGCCGTCGCCGCGTGTATCGTCGTCATGACCGCGGACTCTATCCCGAACGCGCCGTGGACAATCTTCAGGAGCGGCGCGAGACAGTTTGTCGTGCACGACGCGTTCGAGAGCACGTCGGGGAACCCGTCCGCGGCGTACGTGTGCTCGTTGACGCCGACGACGTACGCGGGGGCGTCCTTCATCGGGGCGGTGACGATGACTTTCTGCGGGCCGCGCCTGGGGCCAACGCCGGGGTGGGGGAGGAGGTGCGCGCCCGCGTCGGCGCGCGAGAGAAACTTCCCGCTCGCGTCGACGACGACGTCCACGCCGGCGGACGCCCAGTCGATGTCGCGCGGTTCTCGCTCGCGCGACAGCGCGACGCGCGTCTCCGACCCACCCCGCGCGGCGCGGAGATAGAGTCCGTCGTCGCCGTCCGCCCTCGCGCGGTGCTCGAGCGTGCCGTAGACGCTGTCGTGGTTGAACAGGTACGCCGCCGCGTCGGCGGTCGTACCAGGGTCGTTGATAGCGACGACCTCGACGTTCGCGCCCGCGTACGTCGTCGCGACTCGCGTGAAGACGCGGCCGATGCGGCCGAAGCCGTTCACGCCAACGCGCACGCGGCGAGGGTCGGGGGGTGGGTGGTCTCTGTCCATATCCCGCGCGCGTCGTTGTGCCGTCGGCGCGTTCCGAGAGTTTTCTTTTCGTCGTCTGAACTGCTCTCAGTCGTCCTTTCTTTTGGCACCGGACGCTACCTGACCTAGCTATCGTCATCGCGCGCCGCCGCCCGACGAACCGACCAAATCATTCGCCGACGAGCTGCGCGCGCGCCTCCCACGCCCCCGTCTGCGCGTTCGCCGCCCACATCCGCACGACCCCGTCCATCGCGCTCGTCGCGAGCGTGTTCCCCACCGCGTTCCAGTCCATCGACGCCACCGCCGCCGGATGCGACAGCGACGCCGCGAGCTCGCTCCTCCGGTCGCCGCCCTCGCCGACGCCCCCGCCGGGCGGAGCAGCCCGCGCGCTCGCGTCGCCCCCTCCTCCCGCGCCGTCGCCGCCGTGCACGCGGAACACCCCGGCGTCGCGCCCGAGCGCGGCCGCGATCGTCTCCGCGGCGTCCGCGACGTTCGTCCGCGGCGCCCACGCCAACGCGCTCACCGTCGCGCCGCCGGCGTAGAGCGTCGACGTTATCCGCCACCGCATGTTCGCGTCGTCGTACGTCAGCACCCTCGCGTCGTTCGTCCCCGAGCCCGGCCAGGACAGCGCGACCGCGAGCATCGGCGCGCCGCCGGTTCGATCCCCGCCGCCGCCGTCCGCGCCGGCGGGCCGGCACCACGCCAAAGCGGTGACGCGCGCGCCCGGGGTCAACGCCTCGTGCTCGTTGCACAGCTCCCACCCCGCGAGCGCGAGCGTGTCCGCGGGGGAGTAGAACCTCACGACGCCGTCGTCGCCGCCGCACGCGACCTGGAGCCCGAACGCCGCGGGGGCGAACGCGATCGCGGTCACCGCGGACGCGTTGGCGCGGAGAAAGCCGCAACGTTCCCACGGCGCGGCGCCGTCCTCCGCGGCGGCGAGCGCGGCGGCGGCGGCGTCCGCGCCGGGGGCGCGAAGGACCTCGCGCCAGACGCAGACGGTGCCGTCGCTGGCCGCGGACGCGACGCAGCGGCCGAACTCGGCGCCCGCGAAGGTTATCGACGTCGCGGACGCGCCTCTGTCGTGCGCGAGCCATCCCGCGCTCTGGCGCCACACTCCGGGGGATCCGTCCTCGCCGCCCTCGCGGTCGAAGACGTGGATCGCCCCGGTGGACGTGCACGTCGCCATCCTCGTCCCGGAGGTGTCGTACGCGGTGTCCGTCACCTCCCCTCGCGTCTCGAGCGCGGTGCCGTGGACTTGCTGCGGGATGGGAAGAGGCGCGGGGCTATCAGACGTCGTATGCGTTCGTCGGCGGCGATCGAAAGTCCTTAAGGAACGGCGTTCACCACGCCAACGGGGTCGTATGGGGACCAGTCGTGGTCGAGCGGGATCGAGCGAGGGATCGGCGCGCGGACGCGGCGAGGAGCGCGCGGGTTCGCGCGCGGGGGGCGACGATTGGGGTGCGGACGAGGCACGCACCACGGCATCGTCGTTCGCGACCGCGGTCTCGTCTTCCGCGTCCATCGGTGGTGGTGTGCGCGTTGAAGTGATGACGCTCGCAGATTCAAAACGCGGAGGACGTTCAGTTCGGCTCGGCAGTGCAAACAACGCGAAAAATAATCGCTTCATCGCTTCGCTCGCTACAAGGCTCTAGCTAGGTTCTATCGCCGACGAGTCGTAGGACGCCGCCGGCGTGGACTTCGCATCGCCCCCGCGCGTCTCATCCGCGCCCCCGCCCTTCCCCTGCTTCGCGGCGGCGACCGCCCTTCGCTCCGCGTCCCTCGCGGGCTGATAGAGTTTCGTGCAGTTCGCGAGTTTTCTCCCGTCGTCGCTCTCCCCGCCAGCGCTCTGCTCGAGGACCACGCCCGTGTCGTACGGCGACCCCGGGTCGCCGCATCCTTTGATCGGGACGAACGCGCTCGCGTCGAACGCGGTCGAGACCGCGAGAATAAGCGCCGCGGCGACAGAGCAGGCGCGTCGCGTCGCGTCGACGTCGAGTTGGCACCTCACATCGATCGACGCTCTGCCGGATGCGAACGACGCCGCGCGGCGTGGGTTCGACGCTCCGCGGGCGTCGGCGGGGCGGCAGACGCGCGAGCGCCCGCGCGAGCCTATCGATACGCGCGCGGACGCGAGCGACGCGTGCATGTGCCTGGCGCGCGAGTGCGGTGTGGTGTCTGCTCGAAGCTCTGTTTCGTTGCTGTTGATCTCGGTAAAAAAAAATCCAGTCACTTCTGTTCTCGTAGGCACACCCGTCGTCCCGCCGCGCGCTCACGCCCTGTAGTTCACGTACACGCCCGCGCGGTCGTCCTCCGCCGCGCGCTCGTGTCTCACGAACGGAGCGGGGTACACCCCGCGCGCGAGGTCGCGCATCATCGTCCCGGAGACGACGAGGAACGCGTCTTCGACGTCTCCTCCGCCGCCGCCGCCGCCGCGAGCCGCTTTCGGAGGCCACTCGAAGACTTCGCCGTTCGGGAGGTTCACTGGCGCGACGACGGCGTCGAGCCACGGAATGATCGTCACGAACGTCGGCTCTTCTTCCGCGCGAACCGCCGTCACGACGCTCGCGGCGGCAGCCCTGAGCACGGCGTCGGCGTCGGCGTCGGCGTCGGCGTCGGCGTCGTCTCCCGGCCCCGCCTCTCTCGCCGCCGGCGCCGGGCGGTGCACGAACGTCGTCCGCGCGTACCAGGACGACGTCGCGCACTCCGCGGTCTTCGTCTCGAAATCGTCGTCCATCTCCACGACGTCGCGCATGAGCGCGTCCCCCGCGCTCACCGCGATGCGATGCAGCAGAACGTGCGCGTCCACGGTCTTCCTTTTGAAATCAAACAGAGGCGCGTCCTCTTTGGCGTTCCCCCCGGGCCACGCGAACCACCGGTCGTGCTCGTCGCCGATGACGAAGCTCTCGTGATCTCTCTCGTCTCGTTTGAACCTCACGCCGGTCTTCACGCCATCGCCGGCGCACGCGACCGCGTGAGGGAGCGCGTCTCTCGGGGTCCTGAACCCCAGACGCGAGGACGCGCCCACTGGCTTGTGGTGCGCTTTAATCTTCAAGTCTTGACGGAAAAACGCGCGCGCGGCGTCCGCGGCGACGGCGAACGCTTTGAACGACGCGAGCTTGGGCGGGAGCGTCACGACCGCGCATCCGTGCGCTCGCACGGACGCGCGGAACGTCGCGAACGCGTCGTTCGAGGCCTCGTCCACGCGACCGCGGAGGGCTTCGAAAGACGCCGTCGCCACCGTCGGCGCCCTCAGAAGATCCTCCGCGCTCGGCTCGACTCTCGGCGGCGGCGGCGGCGGTCCGTCCTCCGAGTCCGGGTTCACGACGACCCACTCGCCGCCCACCTCCGAGGCGGCGGCGGCGACCGCGGCGGCGGCGTCGCCGGACAAGGTCACCTCCTTCGCGCGTTTCTTCGCCGCGCGTTTCTTCGCGTACGCGGCTTTCTTCTTCGCCGCCTTGGCCGGGTCAGGCTCCGTCTCCGCGTCCGGTTCCGGTTCCGGGTCCGTCGGGTCGGCGGTTTTCTCCTTCGCGTTCGCTTCCGCTTCCGCTTTCGCCTTGGCGGCGGCCGCTTCCGCGGCCGCCTTCTCCTCCGCGATTCGAAGCGCGATATGGATGGCCTCCGCCTTTTCAGCGGCGGCTTTTACCGCCTCCGCCATCGCCTTTTCAGCGGCGGCTTTTTCCGCCTCGGCTTTCGCCTTGGCGGCGGCGGCTTTTTCCGCCTCCGCTTTCGCCTTGGCGGCGGCTTTTTCCGCCTCCGCTTCAGCCTTGGCGGCGGCTTTGTCCGCCTCCGCCTTCGCCTTGACGACGGCTTTGTCCGCATCCGCTTTCGCCTTGGCGGCGGCGGCGGTCTCCGCGATGGTCTCGTCCTTCGCTTCGTTCTTCACCGCGTCCTCCTTCTTCTTCTTCTTCTTCTTCTTCGCGTCCTCCTCCTCCCCGATGACTTCGACCTTCCACGCCTTCTTCGCGTCGTCCCGCGGCGGCGTCTTCCCCGCGGCGGCGGCGGCGGCGGCGGCGAGGAGCGTCTCGCACGTGTCCCTGAATTCCCTCGTCCGCTCCGCGGCTTCTTTCAAGTGCACGTTTTCTGGGTCTCGACGCAAACACTGAGCGAACGCGTTGTACGCTCGCCTCGCGGCTTCCAGATTCTTCGAGTCGATCGCGACGGCTTCGAGCGCCTTGCCGAGCCAAAACCACCCTTTGACGTAATCGGGATCGAGGGACGTGCACTCGCGCGCGGCGTCGACGGCTTCATCGTACCTCCCGAGCTCGTACAACGCGTGCGATCGGTTCGTGAGGTATCGATTCTTGCGTTCCTCGCTCGGCGGCGGGGCTGCATCGTAAATCGCGAGCGCGTCCTCGAACCTTCCTTCTTTGAGCGCCGCGTTGCCCAATTGGATCGTCGCCTTTTGCGGCGGCGGCCTCGGCGGCGCTCTGGCGGCGGCTTCGTTCTCCTCTCGTATTTTTTTCCCCAACTCGCGGCTGACCTCCGCGAGCTTCTTCAAGATCGCCTTGTCCCTCGGCGCGTGCTCGAGCGCGTCGCGGTACGCGCTCTGCGCCTCCATGTGATCGCCGCACGCGTGATGCGCGTTCCCGAGCCGGAACCGCGCCTTGGCCGCGTACGAAGACCCTTCCGGGGACAACTCGACGCATCGCGTCGCGTCGTTCCTCGCGTCCTTGTTTCTTCCGAGCGCGACGTACGCCGCGGATCGGTTCCCGAGGATCTGCGCCGCCATCTCGCTCGGCGCGTGAACGCGCGCGAGCGCGTCCGTGTACATCGACGCCGCGGTCGCCATGTCCCCATCCTTGAACGCGGCGTTGCCTTTCGCGCGCGCCGCCTCCGCAGATTCTTCGTTCCCGAGATCGGGAACGTCCCCTCGCGACGCCGCGGAGGCGGGTCGCTCGGGGACCTCGTCGAGGATGACGACCATCTCGCGCGCGTCCAGGTATCGAGAGGTTCTCGCGAGCTCGCTCGGGCGCTCGCGCGCGTCTCGCTCGCGCGCGCGTGATGTGCGTCGCGCGCACGTCGCGTCGGGGTTGGACGAAAAGGCGTTGGGAGTCGAACCGGCGCGGCGCGCGCTGTTCACAGCACGTCACGGAAAACGTCGATCTCAGCATCGCGCGCCCCGAGGGGCGCCCGCGTCTTCGCGCGCGCACACCCGCTCGCGCACGGCGCACGGGTCGCGTCGGCGTCGGGACCGATGCCCCGCGCGTCCGCGACGGCCGCGGACGACGCGCCCAAGCCGACGCGACGACGGGGGAACCCCGCCGTCGCGTCGGACGACGACGCGCTGGAGACGAAATCGAGGGCGGGGGCGAGATCGCCCTCGCCGTCGAAAGCGCGTCGAGGCGGCGCGCGAGGAGTCAAGTCCCCGGTGAAGTACGTCAGCGTGCGATCGATGAAGAAGCGGTTCATATTCCTCAGGATCCTCCTCAGCCGCGTCGCGTTCTTCCTCGCCGGGATGTGCTTCCTGTTCTACGTGCGGCCGTACTACGCGCACTACATCTATCCGGAGTCGATGCAATCGCGCGTGGAGCGCTCCATACCGACGTGGCTGAACAGCACGCTACACTCGCTGAACGAACTCCCGGCGCTGAACACGTCCGCGCTGAGCAGCGTCCCTCTCCCCGGGCAGCTCGCGTACGCGCGCGGGCGGCGACCGAAGCACCCGGTCGTCATCGTCCCCGGGTTCGTCTCGAGCGGGTTGGAGCTGTGGGAGGGGCTGCGATGCGGGAAGCATTTTTTCCGGCAGCGGATGTGGGGCACGCCCGCGATGGCGCGGGCGTACTTCACCGACCGCGCGTGCTGGATGCAGCACATGCGGTTGGACCCCACGACCGGGATCGACCCGCCGGGGATCAAGCTCAGGGCGGTGACCGGGTTAGAGGCGGTGGACTGGTTCGTTCCGGGGTATTTCGTGTGGGGGAAGATCATCGAAAATTTGGGCGCCGTGGGGTACGACGTGAACACCCTCCACGCGGCGCCGTACGATTGGCGGCTCTCCCCGCACGCGCTGCAGGAGCGCGACGGCTACTTCACGCGTCTGAAAGCGTCTATCGAGACGATGGTGAGCCTGCACGGCGTCCCGGTCGCGGTGCTCGCGCACTCGTACGGCGATCAGCTCACGCGGTATTTCCTTCGATGGGTCGAGACGCCGACGAATAAGGGCGGCGGCGGGGGCGGGAACAAGTGGACGGATAAACACGTCGCGGTGTACGTCAACATCGCGGGGCCGATGTTAGGCATCCCGAAAGCGGTCCCGTCGCTTCTCTCCGGGGAGATGCGCGACACCGCGCTGTTAGGTCAGCTCGAGGGTTTATTAGGACTCACCGCCGGGAGCTTCGTGAGCGGGACGTTCGGCAGCGCGGCGCAGACGTTCCGGACGTGGGGTTCGATGTGGTCGATGCTGCCCAGAGGTGGGTCGAGGATATGGGGCGGCACCGACGCGGACGGGTCCCCGGACACGATCGTTCGAGGCGACGACGACGACGGCGACGCGAAAGTGGGCGCGTTGCGGCACTTCCTCTCCGTGCGAACGAAAAAAGACGCCGACGGCGCGGGCGCGGACGCCGGGAACGAGACGGACGAGGACGCGTCGCCGCCGTACAACCTCACGATCGCGTCCGCGCTGCGACTGCTATTCGAGCGACACGGCGAGGATCATCCCCGGAACGCGAAGGACTACCGGAGAGTGTTGCTCGGGGACCGCGGTCGCCGCGGCGGGGGCGGGGTTGACCCCGTGACGTTCGGAGACCCGCTCGTCGACGCGCTCCCGAACGCGAAGAAGCTCAGAATTCTGTGTCTGTACGGCGTCGGGAAACCGACGGAGCGGGCGTATCATTACGTCCACCGACCGAACAACACGGACCGACCGTTCGCGCTGGACGTCTCCGTCCACGGGAACGGCGTCGACCGCGGCGTCATTCTCACGGACGGCGACGGCAGCATTCCTCTCGTCTCCTTGGGGTACATGTGCGCGAGAGGGTGGCGACGCGACGACGCGCTGAACCCGGCGCGGATACCGATCACGATCAGGGAGTACGAGCACAAGTCCGGCTGGGGCATACAAGAGGGGCGGTACAGCGGCGATCACGTGAACATCATGGGCAACGTGGAGATGATCGAAGACGTTCTGGAGGCGGTCACCGGGCACGCGGGGGAGATACGGGAGCGCACGACGAGCCGCGTGCGCGAGTTGTCCGAGGAGGTGCACCGGCGGTTGAGGCGACGGTCGCGGTGGGGAGAGGGGGAGTTGTAGGTAGACGAACGACGTAGATAGAGCAGGATGGGCGCGCGGCGTGTTGTGACGAACGACGACGACGACGACGACGACCACGACGCGAAACGTAAAATTCCTGAAACCGATCCCCGTTGCTTCGCCGGTCGGTCGGTGGGTTCGTTGAATGTGAGCCTCCCGATCGCGCGCGGTGCTGCCACGTCGTCGACCGCGGATAGGCACGCGGACCGTCGCGACGCGCGTCACAACACGACGCGCGGACGCTCTCTCGAGACCGCACGCGAAACGATGAGCGTCGCGATGAACGTCATGCACACCGCTAAGATCACCGCGCGCGTCTCCGCGACGCGCGCGCGGTCGAGCGCGCCCGCGCGCGCGCCAATCGCGAAACGCGCGGCGTCCACGACGACGCGAGTGTACTCGCCACCGAACGGGAGCATCGACTTCGGGAGCGTGGACGAGATCAGCGGCAGCGTGGACGCGGACCAGGACCTCCGCGCGGCGATGGTCGAGCGCGACACCGCGGAGACGCTGCGACGCACGATCGCGGTGCGTCCTCGCTCGTCTCCAACGCGTCGCTCCTCGATGACGTCGCGACCAGACCGATCGCCGAACCTCCTCCCTCCTCCGTCGCTCACCTCGCCGCTCGCCCCCTCTCTCTCTCTCGCTCTCCTCGTCAGGCCATGGGCGGCGCGCCCGTGCAAGACCCCGCGGCGTTCATCAGCACGCCCGAGCAGCGCCTGCAGACGTCGATCCTCTTCGGCTCGTGCGCGGCGCTCTGCGCGCGCGGCGTCGTGGGCGTCCACGAGAATATTCTCGCGTCGGGCGGCGGCGACGATCCGCTCGCGTACGCCTCCCTCCTCGCCGCCGCGGTCGGGGCGTGGTGGCTCTCCGACCTCGGCACGGGCATCTTCCACTGGAGCGTGGACAACTACGGCAGTAAGCAGACGCCGGTGATGGGCGACGTCATCGACGCGTTCCAGGGCCATCACAAGTACCCGTGGACGATCACGAAGCGGCAGTTCGCCAACAACACGCACACGACGTGCCCGGCGACGAGCTGCGTGACCATCCCGCTGCTGCTGACGCCCGATTTGGGTCCGAACGCGTGCGTGTTCATGGGTGTCTTCTGCAGCATGGTCGTGCTGTCGCAGCAGTTCCACGCGTGGTCGCACGCGAAGAAGTCCGAGCTCCCGGCGCTGGTGATAGCGGCGCAAGACGCCGGGTTGGTCATCTCTCGCAAGGCGCACGGGCAGCACCACAAGCCGCCGTTCGAGGGGAGGTACTGCATCGTGTCGGGGTGGTGGAACGACGCGCTGGACGGGAGCGGGGTTTTGAAGCGCGCAGAGCGGTTCATATACGACACCACCGGAGTCGCCGCGCGGTGCTGGACGGAGGCGACGTTCAACGTCCAGGAGGAAGCGCCCGAGGGGTGGGGGAACGACATCATTCGTTGATTTCGACGCGTTGATGAGATTATTCTTTTCCCTCCCGACCGCGGGCGGACGTGTACCAACAGGCATCGCCATAGCTGTAGCTCGCTCTTTGTAACGCAACATCGACGATATTTACTTTTCAGTTTCGCTCTCGCGCGCGGCTACGACTAGTCTATCACACGGGCGCTCGAGATCGATCCGTCGTCGTCACCAACTCTCGGCGCCGCGGACGTTCTTCCTCCTCGCGTCCGTCGCCGCGCCCTTCAGCTCGCACGACGCGAACCTCCCCCCGCCCTCCGCCCTCGCCGTGGCCTCGCTCAACACCGCGGCGACGTCCAAGTGCCCGTTCATCGCCGCGACCTCCGCGGGAAGCACGCCCCGTCCGGACGCGCCGCAGTTTTCCCCGCGAGTCGCGCATCCCTCCCACGACGTCGAGAGCCGATCCGCCGCCGCCGCCGGGTCCGCGCCGTTCTCGATGAGCGCCTTCACCGCCTCCGTCCGCCCCCACTCCGCGGCGCAGTACAGCGGCGTCTTCCCGTTGTGGTACCTCACCGCGTAGTCGGCGCCGTGGTCGATGAGGAGCTGGACGATCTCCCGCGATCCCGTTTTCGACGCGGCGAAGATGGGCTTCCACCCTTTCCGCGACGCGTTCGCGTCGGGATCGGCGCCCGCGCGTAACAACATCGAGACGCACTCGACGCACGACGACGGCGACGCGACGACGTCGGACGCGCCCGACGCCGCGAGAAGCGCGCTCGTGTCGTGCTCGTCCACGGCGTTGGGGTCTAACCCGGCGTCGAGCAGAGAGGCGAGCACTTCCGCGTGGCCCCTGGCCGCGGCGGCCACAGCCGCGCCTCTCGCCGCCGCGCAGTCCATGCGCACCGCGCGCATTCCGGAGGCGTCGTCGCGCCGCGCGAGGATCTTCTCCACGAGCTGCCCTTGGCCGTGCCCGGCGGCGATGTGGAGGACCATCTCCGGCTCCGCGGCGGGGAACTTGAGGAGGATGGGCACCGCGCTCCACGTCCCGGACTCGACCGCGTTCGTGAGCTGCGCGAGCCACGCGGCGAACGACGGGTCCGACCGACGGAGACCGACCGCCCATCGCGGTTCGAAGTGCGGGACGTCGTGACGCGCGCCGGATATCGCGCGCGGAGGGCGGAGTGCGTCGCGGGGACGCGCGGCGCGACGGCTCGACGGCGCGGGAGCCGCCGCGACGCGCGCGCGGACCGCGGTCGCGCAAGCCATCTGGCGGGAGAAGATATTATTATTCGTCTGTTCGTCGGTCCTCCCGAGGCTGTCTTATCGCGACGCGATGCCGCGCCCGCGCCGCGCGGCCGTCGCCGCGGTCGCGCGCGGTCCCCCCTCACGGACGCCGCGACGTCGCACGCCGCGCGCCGATCGTGGCACGCGCTCGCGCGCGCTCGAGGAGTGAAGCGACGTTCGAATAAAATCTCGCGGGAAGTCCGCGTCACGCGCGCGCCCAGTCCCGCGGCCTCGAGTTTCTCTCATCAGTCGTTTAGGGCGCGCGCTCTCCTTCCCCTCGCGCACTCCTCCGGGAGCACCGCAGGGCGGCGCGCGGGTCGGGACGGGCGGCGACATGGACGCGACGGCGTCTTTCCGCGAGGCCGCGAGGGATGCCGCGGTGTCGACGCGCCGGCTCTCGCCGACGCGCGCGGAGGCGAGCGTCGCCGCGGTGGGATTGCCGCCCCCGAGCGCGCGCTCGCCGGTGTTGAAAGCCGCGCACGACGCGCTGTCGCTCGTCCGCGAGCTGCGCGTTTTCCTCGCGAAACACCGCGTGGACTACCTCAGGGAGAGCAAAGACGCGGACGCGGTCAGGGACGGGATCGAGTCCGAGGTGCGCCTCAGCGTCCGCGCGTGCCAGGCGCACATCGCGATGTTACGATCCACCGTGGAGGAGACCGCGTCGACGCCGGGGCGGGAGGGGACGCAGTCCGTCGCGCACCTGCACGGCGTCGTGCTGATCGTGACCGAGCACTTACAGCGCGTCGCCGCGCTGTTCGACCAGTGCCGCGAGGTTCGGTTCAAGAGCGTGCTGGACGAGGCGGAGCGCCGCCGCCGCCGCGCGCCGAGGGCGGCGGCGCGCTCAGCCGCGTCGGCGAACGGCGCCGCAGATCCTGCGCCGTACGATGATGACACGTCAGCATCCACGTCAGCGACCACGTCACATCAGCAGCAGCAGCAGATGGAGGAGCGAACGTCGGGGAACGAGCTCGTGGACGAGCTCGCCGGGCTCGCGGATCAAGTTCGCAGAACCGAGGGCGCGGTGCTCGAGATGGCGGCGTTGTCGTCCTTGTTCGCGACGCACGTGCAGCAGCAAGCGACGCAGATCGAGGCGCTGTACACGCAGGCGATAGAGAGCACCAAGCGCATAGAGAGCGGGAACGTGGAGCTCAGGAAGACGATCGCGCGACGGGGGGACGCGAACGTCGTCGTCGGCGTTATTCTTTTCCTAGCGACGTTTGGCGTGCTCTTCATGGACTGGATGACCGGGTGATGATCACACGCGTACTTTCGTACTGCATCGTAGGATTTACTAGAGATTAGCAGGCTAGCTCGACGATCGCGCGTCGCGCTACAGGATCGCCGCCGCGAACGACGGCGGCTCCGGGGCTGTGAACGTCTTCGTTCCCCCGTCCTTGGCGTCGAACGGCAGCGTCAACGCGTGCGCGTGAAGAAACGTCCGGAACGTGTCCTTGTCCTCGCTGTACGCGGCGTCCCCGACGATCGGATACCCACCGTGCGCGAGGTGCACGCGGATCTGATGCCGCCGGCCCGTGATCGGCGTGACCAAGACCTTGCTCACGTCCGCGCCCTCGTGCTTCCCTCTCAGCGCGAACGTCCCTCGCTGGAGGACTTTAAACCTCGTCTCGGACGCTTTCCCCTCGACGCCCTCCTCCTCGCCGTCGACGACGACGCGCTCCTTGAACCCCTTCGGGTCGCTCGGATCCCTCCCCAACTTCGCATCGCACGTCCACTCGTCCTCGCGCGGGTGCCCGAACACGAGCGCGATGTACGCCTTCCTCGCGGCTCTCTCGCGGAACAACTTCGCCGCGCGCCCGGCGGCGCGCTTATTCGACGCGGCGACCAGCACCCCGCTCGTCGCGTTGTCGAGCTGATGCACGAACCGCACCGTGTCCCATCCCGGGTACCTCTCCTCGAGCCAGTCCTCCACGCTCAGGTCCCCCGGGTACTTTGGCGTGAATCGATTCAGCGGGTTACCGGCCGCGTCTTTCCACCCGCGCGGCGTGTCGAGGCGCACGCACCACGGCTTGTTCACCACCGCGTAGTCCTCGCACTCGTGCACGAGGTGGAAGCGCCGCTCCAGCGAATGCGGCTGACGCGCGATCGCGTCCGCGACAGACTCCCCGCCGAGGCGGTCGTTGTCGTGAAGGAACCGCAGGTAGTTCACGCGCGGGACGACCTCGCGCGCGAGGTCGTACGTCTCGAGGTCGGGATGCGACGTCGTCACCGCGTCCACCTGCGTCGGGGAGAGCCCCGCGTTCGCGAGCACGGCGCGGACGTCGTCGCCCTCGACGCTCACGCCGCGGATGCACAGGTTCGCGGCGTCGAGGCCGGGGTTCGCGACCCCGGGGTCGGCGTCCGCGGTCGCCCTCGCGCCGCCGTGTCGGCGCCGGCGATGTCCCGGCGGTCCCGCCGCCGCCGCGAGATGGTGACGGTGATGGTGATGGCGCTGGGTCGCGCGAGGCGCGAGGTGCGACGGCGGCGCGACGCGACGCGACGACGGCGGCGGCGGCGACGACGAGGAGGACGACGCGGCGGCGTGAGAGACGACGCGCGAGAGCCGCCGGAAGCCCGCGATGCGCATCAAGCTCGGCGTCGTCATCCCTCCCCGCGTCCCGCGCCAGCGGGAGTGGTGCCGATGCCGAGATGCTCTTCTTCGAGATTCTTCTGTTCGTAATTCCGCCCCACGCCGCGTCCAGTGTTCCGCGCGCCCGGCGCCCGGCGAGGATGGGGAACTGCGCGTCCTCGCCCGAGGAACAGAGGCGGCGCGAGCAAGAGGAGGAGCTCCGAAGACGCGCGCGCGCGGAGTGGGAGGAGTACGAAGCGCACGGGGAAGGGTACGAGGACGAGCGCGCGTCCGTCGCGAGTCGCGATCGCGACGACGACGCGCGCGACGCGCGCGAAAAAACAAAA